GCTGCCCATGTAAAATGCCCAAACAAGAAGCAAGCCCAGTGGATACTGTTCATAATATGGGTTTTCGGCATCTCACAAGCGGAGGGAAATATTTATGTAAGTCTGAGAGTAACGTTCCCCATGTTAATGATGTGTCATTCACTAAAAACATACACAACATATGAAAAGGAGAGGAAATTTAGAAACGTCTGATGGCTCAGCTTTTAATGGTTTGTGGGAAAACTTTTCTTTAAGGTACAAAGTAAGACAATGGTGAAGAAAGACAGCATGTGGAAAACAGGGAAGTGTACATGGAAAGATAATAAAAACAGGTGATGGGATGGGAAATACAGAGAGAATTGCCATTTTCTGTCACAGGAAAGTGAGGGTGAGTTTGTGTGAGTGGGGACAGGTAGAACATGGATTGAGAGAGCCGGGAAGAAATGACTCACAGGACAGATTGCTTTTCACAAACCTGCCCTGAGAGCAGCATGAAAACAAATAGGCAGAGACAGAAAAGGACAGATGTGGGGAAAATGATCATACTTGTGTTATTCTTTTATAGTTTTATGCCCCAGTTTCCATATGAAGCAGAGAATGTTTCATATGGAAAGATGAAGATTATCGAGCCAAGTGATTACTCTCCTTCATGATTGCCTGTGATGTGATCTCACATTGTCATATGGAATACAAAGTCTCTAAACAGTGACAGTGATGAGCAGTGATTACTGCTGTAACATATAAATGGATGACACATCTCTGTCATTATAACCAGCAGGAAGCAGTCACCTTGTATTGAGCAGACCTTCTTTCTGAAGGGCTCTGAATGAGATGTAATCTGTCAGGTTTGGATTCCTGCCGTCAGCTACGCACAATTAAACCTTAATCACAAGCGGCAGGCGTCAGGAACCCCAAATCAGAAAAACGAAAAGAAATAGAATCATTTAGCAGTGTTGACGTTAGTAAATAACACAACCCAAATCTCAAACAGAATCTTCAATAGCCATTTTCGTCCACTGTACAAATGATATAGTTTCAGAAGAAAGGCTAAACAATTGTTTAAATATTATGTAATTCTCACACCGTTCATAACATACACAATATGTAATGATGACAACATCTAAGCTGCAGATTTCTATGAAAAAGATAACCAGCTAACACACTGAGCGTCATTGCCCACTGCTTTTCTGCCTTAAGAGGGATAATACAAAAGAATCGTCACTTGATGTGTGAAAAGTCTGTTTTTTCCTAACTAGGTGAGCAATGTGTCTGTATCTATATCAGTACAGAAACAGATGGGGTCGTCTTGGTTTTTGAAATACATCAGTGTAAAAAATCTCTGAAGCCTGAAACACAGTTTTGTCATCTTTGGGTCGGCTTTCTGTTGTCTTCAGCCAAGAAACTGAGCATGTCTTTATATGAGATTTATTTTGAGCAGCATTTAACCCCTCTGTATCTCATTGGTCTTTTGTTGTTTTATTCATTTCCGTAGGAGAAGTCTTTATGGAGGTGATTTCAGGTCTACTGCCCAATAATAATCCTCCTGTAAAGCTGAGTAAGTCCCTGTTTGGCAGTTTGCCTTTCTGTGAAGGGCTCTATACTTTTTCCAAAGCATTTGGTTATTTTCATATCTCTTATAAGGCGGAGAATAATTAAATTAGTGGGCATAAATGAAGCTTATATGAGTAGGGGCTCATTACACTAATTAAATGCCAACATCCCTTTGCACCCACACCTTGGAAGTGTTGTCTTCTCTAAATGCCTGCTGTGGGCACGTGGCTTTGCTATCCACTGGTAATTGTTTTTTGGTATTCTTACAGTTTTTCACCAGCAGATAGACACAATTGGATGTGGTGAAAAGATGAATAACCTGATTTGCTTGCTAATTTGTGCCATTTAAACACCCATAGACTAGCACAGCCTCTGTCCTCGGGCGGTGGAAGGCAAAAAAGAGACACAGAGGGTACAGTTCAAAAACACATATTCCTGCAGCCCTGAATACACAATGTGAGTGTGTAAAAAGACAGACTCTGTGTGCTACAAGTGAGGACACCCAGTAGGTACACGTTTAACAAACACAGAGTCAGATTAGGAGCCCAGTGTCCTTTTTTTATTTGAGCTTACACTTTTCCAGCTTCACACAGGGAAATAGCGAGCTACTACTTTAGTTTTCGGAGAGAGTGCAGGGCTGATACACAGAAATGAGAAAGACATGTGATACAGAAAGCAATAATAGATAGCATAATATTTTTCGGTATCACTTACATCACAATTTGCTAAATGAAACAATGATTATGAAGTCAATTACTCTAAAGGATGTTTTTGTTGCTCTTTGAAGAAAATCTATCACTAACTGTTTTAGTGATAAACATGGGAGCTTGTCTTTGGCAAAGAGCAGAAGCACAGGGGAAAAACTGATCTGAATCTTTTCAAAACTCGAAGATAAACCCACACCCGATTCTTTAAGTCACGTGGTTTTCCAGTTAATATCTTCACCCTCAGCATAGCTGCGCAGGACTAAACTGCACAACTTTGCGAACAGAATGGGGTCCAACTTTAAAAAAGTTTATCACAGAGCCAAATTTAGATGAATAAGACACACAACCAAACTCCTAAAGGAAATTTTGAGTCGCCTTACAGGCAGGTTTGGAGCTTGAGATTACCTGCCTGCACTCAAAGATAACATGCAAATTCTAAAAAGAATAGCCACAAGCCATTTTTTTAGCCTAGAACTCTCTTGCCAAAGTCTGAAAAAAGGATGTTTAAATTGGCCCACATGTCCAAAAAAGCTGTGCAGCTGTAGCTATTCAGAGCTGAGATTTATGAGATGCCAGTGTGTGGGAGCATCCAGATGACAGCACTGTAACAGCAGTTCATGAATATAAAAACCTGTAATTATGTTGTTCTCCAAATATTGGATATACAACATTGCTCTTTTCTTTGTTTCATTATTCTGTAAATCACCCTCCAAATAATTGTTGAAAAATTGATCAAACAGAGCTTCGAATCCCAGACTATTCAACTGAATATGAATACCAAACACCTATCAAACTCTGCTATTGTTTCTTTTAAATTGCATTGAGCAAAACCACAAATGCCCAAATTACTGTAACCATGTCCATGAGCACTCTATGCAGACAAAACTAACAGAAAAAGAAACTGCTGCCATCCAGCAGTTTCACTTTAATATGCACTGATACATTTTAAATACTTAATTCAGTTTTTTTGCTGTCAGTAATGTATTCAAGAAGTTTTATTAAGTTTAAAACAGTCTCATTTTCATCTATTGTCCCAGCTTCCTGCCGTTGACTCGGTAAAAAAAGCAACCGCATGAATTAGACACATTCAGCTTTGTTGGACACTCTTTTGTTTCCACTCTTCTAAATAATACATAATCAGTATTTTGTCTGATCATTTAATGATAGAGAAATGGAAAAATCCATGTTGCCATAGAGATGAACCCGCTGTGGTCTGTTTGGAAACTGCTTTAAACACACACTTTGAAGCAACAATCAGTTCTTTAAAGAAAAATCTATAAAATGTCCATATTTCCTCCCTGACGTCTCTTCTTGAGACTGTGTTGTTACTTGGGTCAGTTTTATTGATTCTAAGATCACCATGTAACCAAGATCATTCAAACTTCTGATTAACAGTTGTGGTTTCCTGTCATAATTTGAATAATTTGGACCGCTAACATCGCAGCTTATTTTAAATTTGAGACTTCCAATCAGCCCATGGACGTCCAATTATGCAGATCTTTTAATCACTCGATGCTCATTCTAAAAATGGTGCTGTACGAGGCTTTTAATAGAGAAGGGAGTCTTTTATCACAATACTGCTGAAATTTTATTTAATTGGTATTTCTTTAGGCCATTTATATGAATTAAATAACTTTGCCATCTTGAAGACCATCTTGAAGTTAAAATTCAGGCTCCCACACACAAATTCAGAATCACCACAAGCCAGATGTCAGTAAGGCTTAAAAAAAAATCTTTTAACAGTGACACCTTTGCAATACACCTCAAAGACAAACAACACTTAAGAAACGTGTGCTGCTCTTTATTATATATTGATCTTTATTCATATCTATGAATATGTGTCAGTATTGTAGATCTGAGCCCTACTCTGATATTTGTCATAACATTGTACAAGACAACTAATACAAAATTCAAATATTGTCACATATCTGCCTAATATCTATAACATGATCACCGTTAGAAAACAGACAACACAAAATCACAAAAACATATGATAAGCAAGTAAAATGTGAAATGGTACGTTTGTTACGTCTTTTAAAGAGGTGGCAATTCTTGTGTTACAAAAACCCTTAATTCAGTCTCAGCCCTCTAAACAGATCATTTTCTCCTCTTAAACTTCTTTAATATCTATAAATGGCCCCTCAGATCATATGAATCAAGAATGTCTCATATGATGTTTGAATCGAATGTTGTTTTTCTGTTCTGATTCCAAACACAATTTGTGAGAAAACTGCAACTGTGAACTTATTTACCATCTTATTTTCATCTTAAACAAATCACAGAATGACCCAGCAGGTGCAGAGGGTAGACAAAGCTACACTGTAAAGCTTCAACGTGCAATAACCTGAAGATATTGATTTCATGTTAATAATTTGACTTTCGATTACTCTAAAGAGCAACACAACTATCCCCCAAAATGACTGAAGTCAGTTCAGGAGCATAACCTCATTTTTGATTTGTCCCCTGTGCAATTCCCGCAAAAACTAAAAGGGTTATATCTATTCTCCCCTCTTTTATTAGAATGCTGTTAGGGTTGATGGCTCACAAGCTCAAGAGCCTCCCGTACACACCCCACAGGCATCCCATGGAAATAATGGGATATCATGAATCCACCATTTTTCTGTTTTCTTTTCTTTGAGAGTGGGCTTCCTGAAAATAAACTGAGTAGTGGGGTACAGTTTTAAAGAAATTGTTTCCTTCTCGTCTACCATCCGCATCACTGTGGTTGATTTTACAGATGCACCCCTCCACAAACCAACCCTCACATGTCATGTGGACCCTCAGCACCTCCTCCTCCTCCTCCTCCTCTTCCTCCTCCCTGTGGATCAGACCCAGTCATCGATGCTGCCCACCCAGTCCAGCAGCCTCCTTTGGTAACAGGCACGAGTGATCGGTTGAATTAAAAGCAGAATCTGAAACCTTTGGAGCAGCCCACAGAACACTACAGACGCCATGACCACGAGCGGAGACATCATCACAAATCCCAGTATGATGAGGGCGGAGCAGCTATTGTCGTCAAGGTAACAGCAGATGCCAGACGGATCATCAAGAACCTGCAAGAGCACAGGCAGAGTAGGTGTATGAGCAGAGGGAAGTCCTTTTGGGGACACGAGGGACAGTTTGTCTACGGCAGGTGCTGTTTCACATCTAACAAAGGCTCTTTTCAGATCCAAAATATGAGGGCAGATGTGTGCTAACATAGTTTTTTTTGCCTTCAACAAAGCTGGATCAGTGCCCATGCTAGAATTAAGGAATGATGGGGGAGAAAAGGGCCCCTGAGAGAGATCAGTTGTCCATGAAGTACACGCCGGTATTGTTTCAACGACAAAACACACCAATGCACGTAGTCTCTATCACACTTTCAGAAACCCTGACAGCAGTTTCAGAGGTTAAATATTGCACAATCATTCCCCCTTTTAATCTGACTGAGAAATGCATTTCCCTCCTGCAAATGGACCTGACTCAGTAGTATGTGCTGGACTTTGAAGTGCACAGTGTGCTTTTGATGAGTACTGCTTCGACATCGTAGTGGTGACTGAGTCATGTGTAGCCTCAGACTTTTGAGTGACACTCTAACTGTTGCTTTTGCTTTGCTTTGAACTGACATTTTGTCTGCCCTGATCATGAATATAGTATTGTTACGCTCACACAGTTGTTTTTTTTTATTACTGATCTGTTGTTGCATGGGAAATGTTCCTTTAGAAACTCTTAAATGAGTGATGTTTGAAGACAACTGCTTTAAAGGCAGCATGTGAGATGTCTGAACTGTCATCTTACTGAAATGTAGATCCCCGGCATAGGACCGGCATGTAGCTAACACAAAGCCTGCCGCACCCTTCTAATCTCCTTATTGCGAGAATAGCAGGATGATGAGCTCAAAACATTCAAGTTTAGTCATGGTGTGTTTGGTTGAGCCAAAGAGAAAACAAGCATGAATAACAGGTCTCCTTCAGCAGAGGTTTTCATGCACACTGCTATGAAATGTTCTGCCAAAAGACCTTCCCTGGAGGCTGAATATTTACTTCCCTCAGCTGCACCTCTAAGTTCCTCTGCCAATCATGACAGAAAATGTTCTTAATACAAACAACAAGGGCTTACTTGCCTAAACGTCTAGTCAAGTACAACAAGACAGAGCGGGCAGAAGATTCCTCCTCCGAGCAGATTCCTCGTTGTAAATGATTTGTGAACATACATCTGTTGTTTAATGCCAAGGGCTGAGCAGCTCAGGGCAAATGTGCATTGGATTTTCAAAATTAACTTTCTTTGTATGTAGTTTCATTTTGACTCTCCACTTTTGCTGTTAACTTAGAAGTTTAGAAATATCTGCCTAATTGTTAAATCAGTGATTAGTAAGACATACACTCCTGTGAAAAACATTCTAGAACTGGTTTCAGTCAAAAGCTTTTTGTATAAGGCCATGATAAGAAATATCAGGTCCTTGTCTATTTTTGGAATGTTGTCAGTACAACATCACGTGAAAACGTGTAAAATAATGCTCTGTGACGTTTCAGACTAAATAAATACTCCCCCCTGTCATGATGAAGGATTTCAACGTCATCATGAAGGACTCTTTGTCTACTCTTCTTAATTTATTAAATTTTCTTTAAGGTGTTCACGTCAGTTAACAAGTCCAAATGATAACATTCCCTCCACCAGTCACAATGATGTGTTTGCACATGTCTAATGTGCATCAATAAATATTATCAAGTTGGCAAGTTACCTTTCCAACATAATGAATTCCTGTCAACCCAAAGATAACAATGCTCTGATCACTTTACTCTAAACAACATTTATGCAGTACTGATATCAACTCTTTTCAACACCTGACTGTCTACCTAAAACAGCTTAGAAAGGACCCTCAACCAAACATACCAATCTGATAGTGTCTCTGAAAATGGAGCCCAATCAGCAGAGAATCTACCGCCAATGTCTTGCTGTCAGTGATCTGGAACACATTCATTTGTTCTTTTTCCCCAACCTGACTGGTCAGAGCCATGAGGGGGACCTACACAATATCACAAAGAAATAGAGTGATCCTAGACCAGCACAAAGAACTTGCATTTTCCTTCTCCAGTGGAAACACAGGAGACTCCATCGCCTAGACATTTTTTTGCCTAGCATTTAAAGTACATTGCATTAGTCTGATTTTTCTTTTCCTGATTTGCAGTCTTTGTCTGGAAAAATAACAACGCTCATCCTGGTGGACTGAAGTTTTGATTGTTGCACAGTGTAGTAAGTGCTGGTTATTTCAGCTGCTGTTACCGTGTCTGACATGGGCTTCAGCACAAACTATTCCAAAAAAGGCCCCACATTTGTTATTTGAATCACACATGTTTCACTTAATATCTATTGTGTTCAACTTTCCTCTAGTGAAAAAGGGTTTGCTCGTGAAAAATAGAGCTAATGAAAGTATGGGGCATCATCTCTGTTTGTGGGATGAAGGTGATAGCACACAGCTGCAGTCTACTCACCCTGGAGTGGCAGAGAAATCCCACATACAACAGCAGCACTGCGGGCAGCAGCATCAGAAAGAAGACCAGAGGCAGCAAGACAGCGCAGGCTGTGACCACCAGCATGTTCCACAGAATTATGGCCACTCCGCAGAGCACGCTGCCACACCTGCTCCTGCGCCCGCCCCACACGCTGTCCCCGCTATGGGCCATTGGCGGGGGCACCATCTTGATGCTGTCCCCTATCCAGAGATCCTCTTTTTCCTCCTCAGCTGAGCTGCCATCATCCAGGTCCATGTCCATGCCACACATTCTGAGACAAGAGAGAGGACGCTAATTGAGTTCTTCATAATTAGAGGTTGAACTGTTTTTTTTAAAGAGGCTACATTAGAGTTTTGAATATAAATCCCAAAAATATTTGCACCATAAATCAGTCAGTTTCTCTGCCTACATTTTTTTTTTTCATTTTTAGTCTTAGACTTATTTGGCTTCAGACAGAGCTCTTCTCTCTATCCGAATGTTAAAGTTTATGCTTGGAGCTGTGAGTAAATACACTCATTCCACCTTTCTGTGTCTTTTCTCACTTCTGTGGTCAGTATCTTTGATTAGTGCTTGCCACTAAAGGACTGCATGCTGTTTGAAATCTAAAGAGGATGCTGAGCTGCAGATCTAAACCTCCAGAAGGAGGATGTTCTGCGGTTCAGTAGAGACACGGCTCCACATTTAGCCAAATATAGTCTGCATCATACTATAAATCTTTTCTTTTTTGTTGTCTTAGAATCTATTTACATCTTTTTTAATTAGAGAACTGTTCAGTTGTGTGTAAACCTCGTGCATGTAAAGAATTCGCCTACCTCGAGGAACAACAAATCCCGTTAATCCCCGTGTTTGTTGGAAATTTTTCTTCCACTGGTGACGCGGGATTTCAGCGTCTTTGCAGTAACAAAAAAACTCTTCAAATGCCAGCTGCAGAAACTGCTGCGGTGAAAAGCACCTGTGACTGAAATCCTGCTCTGTGAAAAGGATGCTGCTGTCTCTTCTGGACCCTCCAACATCTGCGAGAGCGAGCAGCGACGCTGGTCACGCGCTTTAAGGACGCGCACAGGCGTTCACAGGACTGTTTTTAAAAGTTTTTTCCTTTTTAGGGTGAATAGAGCAAATGTCCGATAATCTTTTCACCTATACTCGAATGAAGAAATCATTGAACAGTCATTTGAATGATAATTTGAATAATTGGGTTTAGTGGCTATATCAGCACTGCGCATTTTGGGGGATTTTTCTTTTTTTTAATCTATTAACTTTAAATAAAGCCAAAGAAACGTGGCAAGAGTGTCACTCACAAAACCAGTTCAGATTGAGACTATACATTTACTTTTTCACTTTATACATGACTAAACAGCAATTTCTGCTAGATTTAAGGATTCAAAGGATGGTTTTATCATAGTAGTGCCAGGCCAGATGCCAACATCCACATATTTATTCACTACTCAGCTGAAGACACAGGGAACAGTGAAAAGATGTGAGACACAGATGCTGATCATGTGTGCATTTTACTATTTTCTGGTCAGTTACTTGGGTGCGTGTGGACCTGTGTTTTTAAAGTGCCAAAATTGCTGTCATGTAAGGCACTTTGTGTTGCTTCGCAGGCTCCTGGCATAAGAAAAGAGAACCAACTCTTTTGGACGAGACTAAATTGTTTGCCTGCATCTTTAGAAGAAGAAACACTATTCTGAAGACAGTGGTGTGGAAATGGAGAAGATGGATGTTTGGAAAAAAAAACACCAATGTTGAATTGGAGAAATAAATCTTTGAATAAAAGAGGCAAATGTAAAATGTTTAAACAGTCTCTCCTCCCAAGTTTGTTTCACAACCATTCACGTCCTGTATTCTGTAATTAAAACTAGCTCTTCAGACGGATAGACGATTAACAGACTTAAACAACACACCCTTGTCTGGTGGTTCAATGACGCATGTGACTGATTACAGCCAAATGTGGGCGGCCTCCTATGTTGCTTATAAGTGAATACTCGCCACCACTAAGTCAGGTGAGAGGTAAATGTATTCAAGCTCCAATAAGAGGACCAGTTGACCTTATTAGAACTCTCACGATCCACTAAAATGGAAGTTCTCATAACTCAGCAACTGCCATGAAGGGTTCAAAATCTGTTTATTAACACTAAATATTTACAACTGTGGATTTAATCAAAGATGGTTCACAAACATTAACTGCAGCTTTGATAACTTTGACTTTTTGTCAGTATACTCGCTGATTTGAACCAAAGCTTGGTATTCATGTTAAATTAAATCCATACATAATCAGTTATCTGCAGAAGCGCAATAAATTTAAGAAAAAATCAAATTTACATAGTTGTGTACTCCGGGGAAGCTGGAGACACATCTTCATCACATTTTGAAATAATACCTTCTCTAGATGTGTTGTGGCAGCTTTTTGAGAAAGATTATCTGGACAGTGATAAATCTGATTTCAGGTGGGCCTGTCTTTCAATCATCTTTCATTTTCATGTCAGCTTACAGACTATTAGTTGAGTAATGAAGCTATGCACTTGCACACTTTCCCACCATCGCCTGAGGCATTTCTAACACTTAAAATCAAGTCATGATTTGTTCTGATGCAAATAGCTAGGGAGGCATAACCTGTGGTCACGCCCACCCTGTCTACTCGGCAGCTCTCCAAAGCCACATTGCTGCAAAGCCTTTGTTTTCACAAGAGATAGTACATTTGAGAAACAATTAACTTTAAAATACAGGCTTTGATTCCTCTGGGTACTTTTTCATTTTCTGAGCTTTTTTTTCTTTTCTTTGTAGGTGTAGCAATTCTTTATAGGTGTTAATGAGCCAGAGATGAATCTCTGAAGAATTGCAGACTGATCCTGTGTGATCAAATAGACTTGGCTATGTGCCCCCACAGATTTCTGAGTTAAGAAAATGTCCTGGTTAGCTTCTACCTCCACGCTCTTGCCTCCAGTGACTTAAAAAACGTTGTCAGCTGTGCGCCTGTGAGATAAGAGGGTGATTGATTTGTTTTCTTGTTCAGACGGACAGTCAACCTTTTGCTGATTAAATGTAATTACAAATAGCAAGAGACAAAGATGGGAGGATATGGAGACAGAGCTGGCAGAAAAGACATCACCTGCAGGTGGAGACAGGATGGAGGGAGTGTTTGATGAGGTGAAAGAGACATGACATAAATCATTGCTGGGAAGACATTGTAATAGGAGTTATTACGAGCCCAGCGTTAACATTTACCTCTTCATACTGGTACTCATACTAATATACAGACGAGAACATCTGCTGACATCTGCTGGACTGGATGGGAACTTTTTAACTATTATGCAACAAAAGCACATCTAACAGAAACCAGAAAACTGTTTTTCATTCATGTCCATCAGCTTTCTTTATAGAGTGATTGTCTTTGCTTTGCATGGTTAAAACTGAAGATTTGTGTTAAATCGATTAGGCTGAAACTGTCAGAAATGTTTGTTTTGTTCTTTTGTTTTTGTTTAAGACTGTGAAGCCTTCAGTCTGCCTCTCACTGCCACTCTCTGCCTCAAACCATGGATTAGTCCACCAACCACCCATTAATTCAGCAACATCCTGGTTACCATGGTAATTAATCTTCATCCAGCTGCAAGTAGCACACCATCTTTAGGTCTTTTTTAAAAAGGAAATTATCGGTCTCTATTTATTTCTCTGTCTGTGTGTCTATTTGTCTAGCTATCAGTTAATGTTTTTGAATCTCATTTGAAAACACATTTCTGTTCTTTGGCTTTAAATTCAATGTGAGACTGACATTAACTTTAATGTTTATCCAGTATTTACTGTACCATCTTCTGTCTGTTTTTATGTGACTTTAATATCTCTCAAAATTGTTTATGTGGAGTCTATCTATCTATCTATCTATCTATCTATCTATCTATCTATCTATCT